GGTCATCACCAGTAGTTCTAGTAAAAAAGAAGGATGGCACTCATAGATTTTGTGTAGATTTCACAAAACTAAACGCAATAGCAATACGAGATCATTTTCCATTACCTCGCATTGATGATATATTTGATCAACTCTCAGACTCGCATTTTTTCACTACACTTGACTTTAAATCTGGTTACTTCCAAGTACCGCTTGATAAACGAGATCGTTCAAAGACTGCTTTCTCAACACGAGACAGTCGATATCAATTTACAGTTCTACCTCAAGGCATCACAAACGGCCCGCCTACGTTCCAACGTATCGTTAATAATATTCTAGGTAATTCGAGGTGGAAATATAGTTTAGTTTATCTCGATGATGTCATTATATATTCATCATCATTCAATGAACATTTGGAACATCTTGATGACATTTTAATTCGTTTGAATACAGCGAACTTTCCTTTAAATATCGACAAATGCAAAATAGCGCAATCGACAAATAAATTTTTAGGTCATCAAATAGATCACGGTAATATCAAACCAGATCATGAAAAAATCCAAGCTCTTCTTGCCACTAATGAACCAAATACGGCTAAAGAAGCATTCAGATTCGGTAAAGCTGCTGAATACTATCGGAAATTTATTCGTGAATTTTCTCTAATCGCACTTCCACTTTACAAATATGCACCACGGACGAAACAACAAGGTAAACGACCATCTTCTCAGAAGATTACTTTATCAGAAGAGGATCGGAAAGCATTTAACGAATTAAAGAGAATTCATACTACAGATCTTATTCTTCGTATTCCAAATAATAATTTAGAATTTAAATTGCAAACTGATGCTCCTGATGATGGTATAGGAACAGTTTTGTTACAGACATATCCTATTGGTGGTCTTCCTCTTGTTTACTACTCACAAAAATTTTCTCCGACACAAAAAAGATGGTCTACAACTGAGAAGGAATGTTTTGCAATTCTGTCGTCAATCGAAAAATGGCATAAATACCTCGACGGACAAGAATTCATATTAGAAACGGACCATAAACCATTGTTGCAACTGAACATCCAAGCGCAGCATAATGCCAAGTGTGAACGATGGAGACTAAAATTACAACAATATCGTTTTAAAATAAAACATATAAGAGGTAACGAAAATACAATGGCTGACTATCTATCACGATCTCCAATTGGAAATTATCAAGAGGATATTGATGATTTCCCTACACAACTATCTAAATCTACACAAACAGACCATCTACGTCCTACCATAACGACTAATGCTGTTACTACTAGAGCTACAACAGCACGGATAAATTCATTGGGTAATAAGGATGGTTCATCGACTCGGATATTCACTCGAACAAGTAAAAAACACCATACTAATAAGAATATACAAAAATATAGGGACGCCCGTGATAATGCGGAGCTGTCTCATCCTTCCACTCAATTGCCATCCATACCACATACTGATCCAATTCCTTCATTCACGTTGGATGATATTGTAAGCCAACAAAGATTGGATGTGAGTGTGCAACATATAATACAAAATATTGATAAGTATAAAAAGTATTTCGTCGATAACGGCATGTTGATGCGTCAACAAACATATTCTCTATCACCTGTTCCATATATTTCAGATCATAAGCTTCGTGTTAATATCATTAGAATATATCACGATACACCTGCTAATGGCACTCATTTTGGCAGATTTAAAACTACGAGGAAAATTCAAGAACGTTTCTATTGGCCTTCAATAACAAGAGATATTCGTCTTCATATACGATCATGCATTCCGTGTTTACAAAATAATCATCAGCGCAAGAAAAGTCCGGGTTTATTAAAGCCAATAACACCACCGGAAGGTGTTTGGCAATTGGTGGCTATGGATTTTCATGGACCAATCGTACCATCCAGTCGAGAGGGTCACAAGTATATCATATCGATAACCGATATTCTATCTAAATATGTTATTACAAAGGCGGTTCGAGATTGTACCGCTCTCACTGCTAGTAAGGTCGTGATTCATGATGTTATCCTCAAATATGGTACACCTTGCGCGATTCTCACTGATCGAGGCACGCACTTTACGGCTGCGATTATGGCTGAAATTTTTAAACAACTAGGCGTAAAACATATATTTGCAACTTCTTACCATCCATCTACTAACGGTCAAATCGAACGTTATAACGCTACGATGGATGCAAAAATCGCAGCATTGAGTAACGATCGACGTAGTGATTGGAATGAGAAACTACCTTTTGTTACTTTTAACTACAATACTACTATTCATGCTACATCAAATAACATTCCATTTAACATGATGTACGGGCGCTCACCTTTACTGCCATTTGATTATCATAATGGAATGGTATCGCTACCTTCGGAAACAACATATGTGCATGAGTTGAATAAATATTTGTCTATGATTACCAACAATGCAAGAGATCACATCCTAAATCAACAAACAAAATATAAAATACGATATAATTCAAATCGATCAAATCCTGATTACAAAATCGAAGATATAGCATTGATAAAGAATATACATACTCGTCACAAATTTGACATACGATATGAAGGACCATATCGAATCATCAGGAAACTCGCTTCGAAGACATATATCGTACAACACGTAAAACATAGACACCTAAAAAAACAGATAACGGTAGATTCAATTATACCGTTAGAAAAAAAATAAATATCATTATCAATAATATTTAATCATACATGCCAAGTCGATCGAGATACAATAATTTAATGAAATACCGATAATTATTAATCATTGTAAATATTTTCATATTTTCGTGGCTTGGCATTACATATAAATTACATAGTATTATATCTAAATTAAAAAAAAAATAAATAAATATTATTATTTCATAATTACACATTAGACTATCAATATACTGGGCAGGACCAATTCTAAAACATATCTAATTTTAGATGGCTCAAAATGTTAACAAACATTCATCAAACTTCCATACCTTAGATAGCGCAAACAAGGAAAAATATATTCATCAATGTGTAATCTCTACAATACAGAATAATATGAAAGTTAATGTTTATCCAATGCTTCAACCATTAACTTCATTTTCTATCTACTTCATTAATCATACAACATCCGAACCCACTATAGATTATTTAATTGAAAATGCTACGCAATCGAAAGTGTTTAGCATAAATACTAACAACAATAATGTATCGAAGATGCGAGCCTTAATTCAAATTGGCAGCGTTCACAATGTGTCTATTTTAATGTTATTTGAATGTTGTAGTTTACCTAAACAAGATTCTCATTTATTTTAGAAATTTTTTCCCCGATTCTCTATTGTTCTTGAGCGAACAAAAGAAATACAAATGTGGGGCGATGCACAGAATGAATTATCTAAATTGGTTGAATTTCATTTATTCTCCGTGTCACATATTCAACATATTCAATCATTTGACATTCAACAACTATTTAAAGAATGGTACAACATGATAAATCCTCATTTAGAGGATTGCTTTCCATCAAACTATTCATGTGTAGAGGACGATTCCATCTCACTTCATCCAAACTCTTCTGATATGAATCTTTCTTCATTAAGTGAACAGTATGATTATACGACATGCATCTGTCTTCACCGACCGTATAAGAATCCAAATGTAACTTGGTCTTTGGAAACGGCTATTGCCTATACTTCTCAAGAATTCTTAGACAAACAACATAAGTTAAATTCTGGTGATGTGGGTATAGATTCCTTATTCAGTTCCCATATTTCTCAAAAGGTACCAACTTGTAAATATGGTGCCGAAGAAATAATGCAACCAGCTGGCGATGATCAACTGATCCAATATGCCGCGCGTGACTGCCTTTCAGCTACTAAAATCGCTATTGCCGTTCGACAAAGATGGTCTAGAGCTTTACTCGAAAAATATTCGTCTACAAAATCTATTCGTACCAATTACAGTGATGCTCACGAAAATAAATATTGCTCTATACAACAATCTTCATCTAATAAAATTATTTTGTCACAACAGATAAAGAATAACAATGATTATACTTACATAATCGAGGATTACGAGCCTATTTCCGATGATGATATCAATAATATAATAAATCCTGTTGTTGTTCCAATTTATAATATTATGAATCATGAACCTGGAACTAAAATAAGTCACATATTAAATATTGAACACGGAAAAAAACGCTCACGTGAAGCGATTCGAAGACGTTGTCGAAAAATAAATACAATAATACATGCACATAGACATGATTTTGACGTCATTCGTACTATATATCGGTGTTTTACAATTCGAGAAATTGAAAACATATTGAATCACCTTGATATAAGACATCGCCATTATCACATCCGCCGCCATTATCAATCGCATATTGGTCTACGTTCTTACGAAGATAAATTAAAATACGAACATATGCTTAATCGAGAGTATTTCACCAATGAACATTACATTCGGGAACTGAATTATGCATCATCACATTTACATTACATTCCCGACAATATCCGAAGAAAATAAAATGTTCTATAAAAAAAAATTGTCTATTTGTCTATATAACACACCAATAGAAGGTGTGCGAGGACACTTCTGTTTTAGTGTGGGGAGAAATGTTATGGGACGACATCTGTCGTCCCAACATACCTTCAATTTATCCTGTTATAGTTTTTTCTCCGTTGTTGTTTTGGTTGGTTTCTAATCGAACGATGTTTTTGGGATCGATGGATGGTGTTGAGTGATGATCTTGTTTAGTTTGTTTTGGTCGGATCGTTGGCAATCGTTATACCGCTGATCATCGTAACTGTTTCCTTAGTTATCTCGTTTTTTGTTCATGTTATGATATTTATTTCAATAAAATAAAAGAAGATTAAAAATCCTAACATGAACTATTTTGATTTATTTTAGTAAGCCAACGGGATATATGTGAGTTCCACATTTTAGCCCCAAAGGGGCTGCGCTAACAAGCTTTTTGTGAAATCAGTTCTCGACATTATAATGTTTTCAAGTATTTAGAGCATTACATTTTCGTCCCGGAACGTTCTCTATTAAATTCTACTGCAGTCAAAATATAAATTTTCTAGCACGATTTCTTCATGAAATACCTATATTCATATAGTACTGCAAAAGTGATCATTTCGCTGTGCATTTTTTAGTATTTATGAACTCATTTTTTACGATTATTATATCAAGTTAAAGCATGTAAACAATGAACAGCTCAATAAAAACTGATCTGTTTCCGGTGAAATATGTCTATAATAAAAGACCGAACAAATGTACATTTTTTATGGGTAGCGTTCTGAGCAATATTCATGTACTTTATGAAGTAAGCAGTATGTTTGTCAACAGTATACGTCAATAGTTTCAAAACTCTTATTTTTAATACATATTTCAACATCAGAAAACTGTAACAGCTTTGATTGACGACAAATTCAGTGATGTTGCATTAATATTGATTTATACAACGGTATAAATGAACTTCTAACTGTGATACTCAGTAATTTTGACATCGCCGTTTTTATCCAAGAAAATAAAATTGGATTCATGAATATGGAATTTCATTTTCTGATCCTGCCTATTTTCATGATATTCTCGCATACGGGATACGGTGGCAATCCATACGATCTCACAATCCCGCGATCTGGTTTCCCCCCTTGGGTTTACGAGATAAATGAGGAGGAAATTCCGCAAAAGGTTACTTTTTACCATGTATCATGTACTAGCGATTAGTCCACCAATGGTTCAACATTTGAAAGGTATTTTTCTGTGATGAATACATCTAGTTGGGATGTGTTACTAGTAGAAGTTTAAAGTCACACTGGTGTTTCTTCGCTTTAATATGAGAACAGCAACATTTTGATGAAAGTCTACACTCTTGACGGTAGCGACTTCAAAAAATTCTTAATATCTTAGGAACGGAACAATATATTTCAGAACTGCTTGTGTCACTACTTCTAGAAATGGTGCCTCTGTCATATATATCGGATTGAGACGAATCCGTCGACATTGATTGAGCAGCTTCTATACGAATCGGTCATGGCTTACATGCAGTGGCTCTTAAATGTGTTACTTATGCTTTTCTTGCTGATAGTCCAACGGAAGTAAGAGATCGATACATTTTGATGAGGCCGTGTAAAATGTACTATAAGTTAGAAACTATTTAACATTTTACACGTTTTGTGAAGCCGAGAAACCCAAAATCAAATAGACCATCTTGTAAATAATTGAGTTCTCTATCAAATTATATATATTTAAAAAATTTAAAGAGATTCCCCTATCAAGAATTACAAAATGCGACTGTTAGTACTGTTTAAATTTACTCTTCAATGTTAAAATTGCGTTCTGTGCAAAATTAATATGAAGCCCATATACAGCGTCAGAAAACTGCATTTAGTAACTGATTTGAGTTCCTTCAACCCGAAAAACAAACAGTTTTCGAAAGCTGACGAGAAATTGAGGCGTTACACGGAGAATTCCATTAGCATACATCATGATTGATAATGCTTAACCATGAGTTGTCAGGTTAAAAAAGACATTATTAATTGAAAAATCATACTTATTACTCAACTTTTTGGTCATCTTTTAAAAAATATCTCCGAAAGTGTAAATTCTCATGTTTGGACAAGTTATAGATTTATAATATTTTTTAATCAGTAAGAATTGAAATTCTATCAAAACCAACAATTTGATCTTATTCAGACTAGGGGTGGTACTTTATATTTACTTTACAAAAGTAAATAAAATATTTACTATTTACTTTACAAAAGTAAATAAAATATTTACTATTTACTTTTGTAAAGTAAATAATTTATTTACTAGTTACTTTTATAAAGGTAAATAAAATACTTATTATTTACTTTTGTAAAGTAAATAAACTATTTATTATTTACTTCTGCAAAGTAAATAAACTATTTACTATTTACTTTTAGAAAGTAAGTAAATTATTTTTTATTTACTTTTAGAAAAGTAAATAAAAAAATTTTATATGAAAATAATGACAAAGCACCATCACAGAAGTGATGTTCACATCTAAAATCATCTGATTATTCCATAACGCAGTGTTTTTTTGAGCTATCAAAACAACTTTTCTTTTTCTTTTCTTTTTTTCAATCGCCACTTCAGAATCACAGTAGATAGTAGATAGTATGTTGATCTATTCTTCTGGTTCGTGTTAGTTTTTTTACAAGTCTGGTTCTTCATAGTTTTTGGACTTCATTTGGAATTAACTCCTATAAAGGATCAATATCTCCTAGTTGTTCGTTTGATCTGATGATCAATATGAGCTAAGGATTTTTCCTAAATATTCTGGTATTAGTTTCAATTTCACAATCTTTATTTTATCACAAGCAAAATCAGCACTAAAAGTAGGAAAAACTACACAAAACCGGCAGTACAATATCAGATATAGCAAAAATATACCATAGTAAAATTTTTCAACAAAAATACATAATTTCATACAGTATCAAACGACATAATAGAACATATGTATAACAATCAACAAGAAAAACGAGAAATACTTATAATACATAATAAGTTTAACAAAACGACACGAAAAAACATAGTTATTGTCAAGAAATATATTTCGATGGATTAGTTGCCTCTGCATGATTATAGCGTTTACTTTTTTACTTAGAACCTCAGATAGTAATACCGCTCTTGTTCAGAAGAAAATGTACAAATGGAATATTAAATTTCTTTTTATACATGTACACATAGTTGACTTTTTTATTTCTTTTTTTTCATTTAATAGTACTGCAGATGATGAAGAACTTTACCAAAAACTAACTAGACTGCCACTATCTTATCCACAGTAAAATTAAATAAAAATTAAGAAATAAAAAAGTCATCTGTGTGCACGTATATAAAAAAAACTCTAATATTCCATTTATACATTTTCTTCTGCACAAGCTCAATATTACTATTAGAAATTTTAAGTAAAAAACTAGACGAAAATCAACCAAGAAGAACAAGTGAATTCATCGAAGTACAAAAAAAAAACTTTCATTTAATAAAACAACATGAAAAACAAGTTAGTATTTGGGGCAGTGACATATGACACAAAAGTAAAAGTTCATAACAACAACACAATAGAGACTATAAGTAGAAAAAAAAGAAAAACATGAAAATTGCTACTCGAATTTTTCAAGAACTTGTCGATTTTTCAACACAAGTAAATAGCGAAGTGTTCGAGAGGAGAGTGATGCACGTTGCTTTCGATGAAGAAAACTAGCCACACTAAATAGAGCTTCACTAGTAACGGACGTGGCTGGAATAACATTTATACGTCGTACTAGGCTAGATAAACGTGGTAATTTTGTACAGTAAGAAGTCCAAAATTCTTGAAAATCATCTGCAGACAGTGCTTCTTTAATGTAACTACTTATTTCTTCATCCAAAGTCATAAGTTTTTCGGTTACTGTTGTGGACGATATTGTATGACCACACACAGCTGCCAATTTTTCAAGTGGACTTAATTTTGAAGCTCTGATTGTCGTCGTTGTTGTTGTTGATGATGATAATGAAGTAAGATGGTTAATATTTGACTTCTCAAGCTTTTTGAAAATGATTTTCTTTGCTGCTTTACGATCAGTATCACTAATTACTCGGTAAATAGAAGGATCTAAAAATGCTGCGACCTAGAAAAACAAATTAAATATTTAAATAATTATAGACGGAAAAAAAATACAAGGGAATAGCTCTTTACAGTTGACTTAAATGCAACATAAAATAATTATCATGACAGTTCTTTTGGAGCTAAATTACAATTCGAAGTCATACTTCATTATGTTTTATTCTAATACTGCTCATAAAGTTCATTAATAATTATTTTTTTGACTAACTTACTTTTTTTGGATAATCCACCGTCAGAAAAAATGATCTATTTTTCTTACTTATCTTTATTCAAGCAGAAAACTTTACTTCTCTTACTTGATATTAATACTTTTGTAAGTATCTCATATAAACTGTAACTGCTATAAACGCTGAATCTCTTGATCCGCGTATTCTAATAATCATATCCTGTTTTTTAAAAAGATAATTAGTCTTATTACTTTAAACTATAGCCTCTTTTTCGATTAGTATAATACAAGGATAAACGAAGAAAATTTTTTTACCATCATGATTTCGAATTGTCCAGAAGGTAATTTAGCTTTGCATTGAACATTAAACCAATAAAGAAGACTTTCTTTTAAAGCAATAGTAATGGAATCGTCGTCGGAAGTGGATTCGAGAAAATGTGATAAAAGGCGAAAAACATAAAATGATAACGCCATTGTTGGATATTTTTGACCTGAAAGAGCCGTTGTAGTTTGAAGAAATGGTTTCAAAACATTTTTTAAACAATTTAACAAATTCCATTCGTGTTGATTAAGAATCAAATCCTTTAATTTTTTAATTTGTTGTTCAGTTAATCCGGTAATATTGTTTGGAAACGCAAACATACTATTTAAAACATCTTTGTGATTAATCAATCGATCAATTAAAAGGAATGAGCTATTCCAACGGATAATCATATCTAAAATAAGTATACCAGTTTTTTTACCATCACTTCTTGAGATCATATATTTTTGAATGTATTCATTAGTAATAGTATGATTACGCATAAATTTAATGATTAATCTTGACTTTTTCATCAGTTCAAAAACATTTTTAAGTAATTCGAAATGATTTATCGACGACGAATTGTTATTATTTAATTGAAGCGAAGCAAATTCAAGTTCAATATCATCTTCAGCATCTGATTCGGTGTTGACTTCTTTATCCACATCGTTATCATCATCATCATCATCATCATCATTATAAGCTAAATCACGTTCTGCTTTTTCTACTTCTTCTTCTTCACTTACTAAATCAGAAGCAGCTTCAATGGAACATTGATCACATTCAGCTATATCATCTAAGCTGTCTGATTCTCGATCAAGATCTTCCCATTCATTTGAACTAAGTTCAAGATCAAGTGGAAAACTAGAAAAAAAATAAATCTATTACTTATGAAAATATTCCGTATAAACTGCATAAAAATTTTAAGTATTCACTAGTTTAAGATTTATCAGATAGTAGAATGAAGTGTGGTAAAGAGTCGTTAAAATAGAATTCTAGAACTAAGTATTATTTTATGAAAAACGCGCATCTATAGATTTGCTGATTGTAGAACTTTATTAAAATTTTCTAATGAAACCGTTGTTTTTGAAAAATAAAGTTACAATTTAAATTCTCTTAGTAGTCTTGATCTTTACAATTCGTATAAGATCATGAATCGCTTAAGTAATATAGATGATTCTATGTAACGTTGTCACTAGTAAAAATAAGTCGACAAATCAATAGAACCTGTATGTTTATATCGACTTTCACCTTATTATTCATGCACTGTTTAATTTTTATAGTTGATCAAATGATTACCAGTCATGAAAATGAAGAAATAGTAGACAGAATTATGAAAGCAGTTAGTGAAAAAAGTGTTAAACGAATCAAAAAAAGAAACACTAACAAACGTAATTAAAATCTTTTTTAATTTTTTTCTATTAATTAAATGAAAGATATTTTCATGTTATACTATCCATCTGATAGACAATTACTGAGTATTCTTGAAAAAGATTTTTCTCTGTTCAACACTCCCAAAAATATACTCACTCTTCTGCTTTTGGTTGAATCCAGAGGCAAAGGCCTTTATGCACTACCAAGTTTAGATTATGTGCCATACAGCTGATTGGAGCACCAAATTTAAGTGTTGCTGCAACTTTTTTAATATTACTACCGTTGTCGGTAGTGATGCTGACAACTTGACTTGGTTTTATGCCAATACGATCAAGTTCATATTTAATATAACGTTCGATTGAAACTGATGTATGTTGTCCAAGTATTCGTCTACAACCGATTACTATTGGCACATGTTCATAATTACTGGTAAATGCATGAGCAGTAAGGGCAATAAAATGTACTTGTCGTGAATTTTTCCATATATCCGATGTTAACGATAAAAAGCCAAGTCGAGGTACTAAATCACGAAGTTTTTTCGTATGGAGAGAATATAATGTAGCTATTCGCCTACGAATAGTTTTTCGATGAGGCGCCACATAACCTGGAATGGCAACAGACAAAAATTTAGCCATTCCAGGCCGCCTGAACGTATCGAAGGCAAGACCATCTTGAACAACAGCATCGATAATGGAATCATTTAAATCTTTTCTACGTTCAGAAGATATTGTAGTTAAATTAGGTTTTGAATTATCATAAGTTTGAGATTTGAATAAAACGTTCGGAATTTTATGACATGATGAAGATAAATGCTTTCTAAGATTCGAATCACTAAGCTTGGTAGCCTTGTAAACCTAGAAAAAAAAAGTATTATTTACAAGTCAACCTGATATGATTCATCTCTAACAATCCCTGACGTTTTCGTATATAAAAATCAAATATGGTAGTTAAGAACAGTTTTATCTCACACATTTCTCCTCTAATATTTTCTCCTGTAAAATAAAATAAAAATAACTGGCATCAATTGAGTTTTCGTACATGCTGATTTCACATCATGTAGAAATGCAGTTTTAATCATCGATTGTCAAGTCATTTCTAACATTAACTTAAATTCATTATGAATATCGAAAATTATATAAACCTATTCACTAGTTTGCTTATTTTTGAATTTCAATGAACAATTGAATTGTCATCAGAGAAGAATTATAATCGTTCAGTAGTCAATTTTTGAAATGTAACGCTTACATACTCAAATGAAATTATTTTCCTTTTTTTTTTGTATTTGAAAAGACGTATATGATTCACGCATACTTCTATATGAATGACTGACATATAATAGATACCGTGTATAAAGATAGAAATCTTTACACATTTGAGAAATCATGTCTTAGTCTTAAAATATAAATTTAGTTCTGAGCGTAAATCTATTGGTTGGCATTTTCATTATGGCCAATAAAAAAGAAGTGTATAGTATTTTTATTTTATAGAATGTTGAAGTGTAAACAGAAAACACTATAAGAATTCAATTTCTTTTGAATCTACATTTTAACTAAGAATCTTTATGGGAATATATGGAATGATTGAACCTTACGTTTATTAGTTTCATATAATCGCTTAATATATTCTTCCTTTAAATAACACTTATACAATATATTTTAGAACTAGTCAATATAGCAATGTAGCGTCTCATTCGCTGATTTATTGAGAAACATTTCTCTACAGAAAATACATAGCTAGATCACAACATAGATGAATTTTTATCTGCGATTGATTTTTCTATTAGTTCAATTTTATAGGATCGAAATCTTGAAGCTTAGAAAATACCTACAGAAAAATAGTCGACGTTATAATGTGTAGTTTGAGACTATTCAAAATCATCTTCTTCAGATAGTGACCATTAATACTGACGAAGGCGTATGCGTGTAAATATACTTTTCTTTGAATCTAGCTCACTGAGCTATAAAAAAATACCTGTTAAAAGGTTTTTCATTCAAGAAAATATTATAAATGCTAAAGAAAAAACTGAAATATCAATGAAGACTTATTTTTTTTCGAAGAGAACGCTTTGGTGTTATGGATTATGTGCTAGAATTATTATTTTCGTGTCAAAATAAAAACTATCAGCGAAATATTATACATGAACATAAAGCGCTGACTATCTATATACATATTTACACAAACATAGATGTCCATATTTCATGACTTTATAAGTTAGTTTACTTTATTGCAAATTTTGCATTTAAAACCATTAATTTGTTCGTCAAAATACGATAAAATTTGTGATCGTTTGGCAAGACTCGATGATTTTGTCAAAACCGTTGTACACTGATTGCTGTCGTGTTGCATCTCTTCATCATCTGATTGATCAAGTGGTAAATGTAAATCGGAAATGTCACTGTTATCAGAAGTAGTAACATTATCGTTGACGATTATTTGTGAAGCAGCGTTTGAAGAATCATCAGCGTGTGTACTTCTTCTTGCGCTGAGTTTCGGTGAGCGGACTACTCCACCAGATAGAACTCGATGGATACTTGATTGATTTAAAGACCGAGGAGTTACTTGTGGTGACCTTGAAGAAAAACGTGCACTTCTTCGTGGACTATCGTTAATTAGAACAGATGATGATGGTGTTGAACTAGCTGATACTCCAGTAACATTTCCAGTAATCGCAGAACTATTGTCATTGATACGTGCATTCATATTGATCTATGTAATAAAAAAAGAAATGAAACGTGAAAAATTTATTCTAATATTATGTGATTGATTCCGTAATAAACTGTAACGGGTTGATATAAGCTTGATATGTTCATATAACTATATATGTACATACAATAATGGCCATTACATAAAAAGATACATATAGCCTCTTCAAATGTAAAAGAGGGCGCTATAGAAAATGTTTGAAATTCACATACGCTAGGATTACGATATATGAGCGTCAATTTTCAAAATAAAATAAGCTTAAAAAATATTATGATCGTTTTTCTACTAATTTAACGTGATTCGAGTAGTTTTTCAAAAATAAGAAAGACATTAGAATCACACAAATTAAATCCGAATAAGAATAGTTCAGATATTTTGTTAACATATACTTCAATTTACACACGAAAATTATCATGACCAAGAGAAGAAAAATTATTTGAAAGGCTGCCATTTCTTTTTTATCCTTTTCTCAAAAGCTGAATAAATTTCGCATTATGTGTTAAAAATATTTTTCAATCAAACAGCTTTATTAAAAATAAAATTATGGTTAGTAGTGCAAGTTTTATTGATGCAGAAAATTTGGAACATATCATACCAAACTTCTCTCAATTTGCGTCTTTAGATCAGTCAAATATATCATAATATTCGAAAAAAAGTTTTTCTGCAGAATGTTTATGATTCTTGATCACTTATTAATTATGAAAGCTTGTCAATGCTAGTTCCGAGTTAATTTGAGTGACTGCAGAGTTTTCATTCACTCTATTTTATTCTGAAAGATCTTTTATTGTCTAAATTTATTATTTTTTTTATCATGCCGTTGTTGCTCTGAATATGTTCAACAAAGTTTATACATGGAAATGTATACAACTAATCGAGAAAGCACGTTTTTGTCTGAAAAAATGATTATGCTCGAATTTTAACTTACAAATAACATACGATCAACGATATTAGAATGAAAAATTCTTCTTAATGAAAGAGATAATCTTGCGAGAAAAAAATCAATTACTAATTATATAAGATATTTAATTTTTTAAAGGAATATTTCCAGTCTAAATCAAGCATGAAAAAATTCACAATTGAAATTCCTTATTTGATAGTATTTTGTATTAACTGATCAACTTTATATTAGTTATTCTTTTTTTTCTTCTTTTGTTTTAATCAACATCAATAGAGCTTTTCTTGGAAAATACTAGATATACTGCTTTTAATCAATAATCTCTATCGTAGTTCAGAAATTTAGCGTATATGATAAAATATACCACGTGTGTTTACACGTCAATTGAAAATCTGATTGAAAAGAATACATTCTTAACATGAGTGACATCATTTTGTTTTAAATTATAGAGATTTTTTTTAAGGGAGCATTTTGATTTCTCGTAGTTCTCATTTATTGTGAATTAATTAAAAACGTAAACTATTTAATGGACAATTGTTTTCAGTGTTGCAGCACTACCCACGGTATATACTTTGAGTTTTAATGCTTTCGAAAGTCGTCACTTTCTCAAAAAAAAGATGTTTCTAAAGAAATTTTATTTATTTCAAATATATTTATTTGGAGTCTTTTCTTTCAATCAAAAACTATATATTTATCATTCCTCTTCGTTTCCTTGATATTGACTTTTTTTTCTTCAAGGACGCATAAAATTCACACATTCACACGTGCGTTCATATGAAGAATGAAAAGTTTTAACGAATAGAACAATAGCTGTCGTGTAATCAATAAACTTATCAACTTTTGTTTAAAAGTCTAATATAATATATCTGCATCTTTTTTATATACAGCTAATAATTAGGAAAAGTATTAAATGAGTATGAACGTTTACTAAAACAAATATAAAATGATTCTTTTTCAAATAAAAATAACTGTCTGCTCTCAAGAACTCTTATTGTTCATCAATCAGATCAATACAATAAAAAAAAGAATGCGTGATAGTTTCTCAGAATAAACTTCTATTTCAATAGAGAAATCAATTTTTCTTCCTTTCATCCATGTACAAGTATTAATTTCAAAAGTAATTTTATGTATAAAATTGTGATAAGCCGAGTTCATGATATCTTTCTTTTTACTTAAATATAATTTCATCTAGTAATGATGATATTCGATAGAACAAAATAAGAAGGACTAATCGTGATTGCTTCGATCGAACATGTTTTCATTCGTAATTAGATTCATATAGAAAAACGACATCATTCATGCATTGTCTAGTCAAAAATTTATTCATGTTCAAGAATGAATATATCATTCAGATATCGAACTAGACTATAAATGTTCCTTTGAAAATAAATATATTATGTGTGAGACTATTTCTTTAATTATTAGGATTATTTTATATTATTACCTATTGGCGAGCTTAGTTTTTCAATTTTTATCTCAAGAATCAAAACTACGTTTAATAATACATTTTTTTCTGTTTCTTGATCAACTGTATACATAACATATCAGTAGACTTATCTGAGCATGATCATGTAATGTATAGATGTATATGACGAAAGAACGAAATATATAGAGAAAAGACCATACAGAAGAAGAAACATAGAAAAGGAAAAGTTGTTACTTTCGGTATAATATAAAAAAATTAAATTAAAGTAATATCAGAATCTCAATGAAATCCAGTATTTCTCTCAAGAGATTGATAATATTTTTGTTTTAACAAAAGTTCTATATTACTTCAAACCTTTCCCAAAAGAATATTATTTCAATATAGATCAAAAAAACGTTTTTTTCCACTTTGCCAATCCTTGAAAATGATTGATTGCACCAATCATGTTTTGATAAATCAAAAACACACTACTTTGTTGATTCATCTAGCAATTATTCCTAGTAAAGATAGTTCACTTTATCATTTAACGATTGCAAATAAAATGATTAATAAGAATCAAAAGAAAATATTCCATATAGTTTCATCAAGCATATTTCAGTTATTAGTTTTCTTTCCATTATCTAAGAGGCTGCTCGCAGTTGAGTTTATCTATTTGATAGATTCAAATTATCGACAAAACTGATACCTATAATCAAATTCTCAGATTGTTTTGTCATCTACGAAGAAATAATATTGTTGATTCATTGATGATGAAACAGTCGATTATTTTTAAAAAGCGACTGTATTCGAGCAGTAATATCAAGAAAATAAAATATTTTAGTTATATCATTGCTTATTATGTATAATATTATTAGAATGTAGATATTTGATTTCTCATAATTACTAGGCAAGTTATGATAAGCACTTCAGTAATATCAATATCAATCATAAAATATAAACAGTATACTCCTACTCCTTGCTGAATGAGTTCAATCCGTTATTATGTAAATTGCTTCGTACAAATAAGTTGAGTCTGTTACAGAAATATAAAATGTAAAATAACAAAAACCAATCACATAGAAAACGTTTCATACAGTTATCATACTGGCTATTGATATCGACTCCATAAAAAAAATACGTACATATGCCTTACATCATAGTAGTTTGGAGTTGTTCATGAAAAAAGTCATAGTTCATCGAATAACGAATCATTGGACAATAACCATTTGCAGTACAGAATTGAATTCACTGTAAAATAGTATACGCATCAACCCTTTCCACTGAAAGTTGGATTATCCGCACAAAATCTAATCATATTTGTTTTCGAATATACGTATTTTAGCTAATTCAAAGCTAATTGTGCAGTATATATATATGTTGCTCGATGTGTAGCCTGATGGAATTAAGCCAAATTTTATTTTATTTACTAGTAAATATATTTACTTTCCAAAAGTAAATAGTAAATAATTTATTTACTTTCCAAAAGTAAATAGTAAATAATTTATTTACTTTCCAAAAGTAAATAGTAAATAATTTATTTACTTTCCAAAAGTAAATAGTAAATAGTTTATTTACTTTACAAAAGTAAATTGTAAATATTTTATTTACTTTACAGAAGTAAATGGTAAGCATTTTATTTACTTTACAAAAAGTAAATAATAAATATTTTATTTACTTTACAAAAGTAAATGGGAAGTATTTTATTTACTTTATAAAAGTAAATAGTAAATAATTTATTTACTTTACAAAAAGTAAATAGTAAATATTTTATTTACTTTGCAAAAGTAAATTGTAAATATTTTATTTACTTTACTGATTTACTTTTTCAAAAAGTAAAGTAAATGTGCCACCCCTAATTCAGACTAATCCTATGATATTAAAATTTCGATAGAACTTGTTTTGGTCGGACATGTGCTCGTNTCGGACGTGTGCTAGTTGTAGTATATCATATTCTGTGCTTTATACACGCAATATTCTTGCCATTCTCTTTTTTCCGTCTTTCTCAGTCCCGAGCTGTGCGTACATGCATGTGAAAAAATAGCTATTTTATTTGTTTACATATAAACATAGTATATAATTGTTTTCTAAGGAGGATAAAGCAACACACTTCGATTAAATCACAATAGTATTCACTCTTATGAATATGAATAAGGACAACTTTCGTTTCTACATTAAACTACGCACTGTACTAAGTATTCCAGACAGAATTATTTGCGATGAATTATGTTCTGTTTTTGCAATCAAGCTCATGCACTAAGGACGGTGGAATGGTGATCCAAATTATTTCGAGAATGAAGACTAGATGTTGAAGATGAAGAAAGACCTGGCAGACCCATAACCGAGACAACATCTGAAAATATCGAGCTAGTTCGTAGCCTTATCAATGATAATCCTAATATTACAATAAAAGAAATGGAGGTTCAAACTGCTTTCAGCCATGGTACTAGTCATCGAATACTATCCGATCATCTGAGTTTGAAGGAACTCACTGCTCGTTACATACCTAAGCAGCTGACTGATTCACAAAAGACTGAACGAATTCGAATATGCAAAGAAAATGTCGAAAAATTCGAATCAGGTCTATGGAGATTATGTGATGCTATAACAGGTGATGAATAAAGGTTGTACCTTAAACACATTGGTCGAAATTGTCCAATTCTGCTTGGGTTTCAAGAAATGATCCTCCGTCTGCAGTAG